TTAAATCCCATCCAACATTCTGAGCACTTGGTTCATAGCGTTTGCATCTTGGAAGGGCTGTCAGGGCTCAAATACCCCCCATACATCCAAACAGCGTCAGGGGGTCCCGCTCCGCAGCGCCCCGCAATCAGGCTCGGCCGGGCCGCCTGGCGCCCCCTGGCGGCTGGGCGGTGCTGCGGCGGAGCTGTGCTCCCGAGCGGGGAGGCACAGCCAGGTGGGCTGCTGGGAGAAATTCCAGTTATAGTTTCAACAGCACTTCTTTCGCATCAATAGTTGCTACTTCCCCCTGGAATTATCTCCATAAAGTATGCTTCCATGACCGTATTAATGTAATACAGTCATATAATTTTTATTTTGTTCTCACCCAGTTCAGGAAGGAGCAGAAGTGAAACATGTCATGGATCAGCAATGTAGCAGAGCATATGGGATCCCTTTTGTTCCCAGTAACTCTAAAGATCATTTAGATTTGCTGCTATATATGCTTACTCACATATGATGTTTGTTATCCGCGTTATTTTTTCTCCCTGATTTGTTCCCTGTGAAACAGAAGAAGTACATCATCCTATGGGAAAACACTTCTTCCTTTCAGCTAAAAATGACCCTGCAGGGCCCTTTGCAGGCAGCATTGGGAAGGTGAGAAGCACAGACAGCAGTGCTCAGTGGTTGGTTCCGTGCAGGAAGCTGAGCAGAAGATTCCTTGCCATGCATGTGCCAGGCAGTGCTGCTGCAAAGCCTTTGCTGTCCTTTGCAGCAGGGGCAGGACTCACAGCTGAGGGTGGGGAAGGTCTGCTCTGTCATATGACAACATAGCTCTGCTTCAAGGCATGCATCTTCTGTTCTGTGCAGGTTTGGCCGAGTGCAGGGGCTGCTGTTTCATTCCTCATTTTGAGAAATAGGTTAGGATTACTATCAAGAAATAACTATTTAAACCAGCTTCCAAAATAGACTTTTGTGTAATATTCAGATATGGGGAGTTGGATTCGATGATCTCTAGAGGTCCCTTCCAACCCATACAATTCCGTGCTATGATCATACAGCTCTTGCAGGCATTTGAACAGTGAGCAGCTTATAAATGCATCCACCACAATGGAGCTACCATCTACAGTTAGCTAAAGGTCAAACGTATCAGTTATTAGCTGCAGTAATCACAGTTTGCAATGCTTTTTTGAGCCATTAGCAAGGTGTAATTTGCATGTGCTTTTCAGCAGCAGCATTTAGATGTGAAGGAGGCTGCTCCAAGCAGATGGATTCCGACTGAACAGAGCCATGGCAGGGCACAGCAGGGCTGTGCAGGCAGGAGGATGGGAGCTGTGGCCATGCTGTGCCCTGTGCTGAAAGCATGGTGCTCAGTGCCTGGGCTCACAGCCCCGTGCTTCCTCTGAGGGATGTGGGGCTGTAGGTGGGCTGGGTTTATGGAATTGCCTGCTTTCTTCAACATGCTGTGAGCATTTCCCTGCCCAACGTGACTTACTGTTACTGAGTGATGGGGCTTTCATTGCTCAATCTTGGCATCAGCTGCACGAGGCAACAGAATGCTTCCAAAATGCGTATCTTAAACAGAAAAACAAAACAAAACAAAAAGATAGAAGCAGCAATTCCAGCGAAACATCTGTGATGACATATTCAGCCCATTATTTTGTCAACAGTGCAAGTATTTGATGGCATAATAAAAGGATACACTTTGCTTAGCGAAAACATTGTCAGATAGCAGCCAAGTTAAATAGGGGGCAATTAAAAGTTTGCTTAACCCACGGGATCCCACTTGCAGAAACACACGGAGCCTTTGGGATCCCACCTTCCGTTTGCATTTGCAAGCTCTTGTTTGGGGGTTAAAAAAGCTTTAAGAAAAGAGAGTATTTTTTTCATTGAGCTTTCATAGAAAAAAAAAAGTAGATGTGTAAGTTGATTGTAACAGCAACAAGTTGTGAACTGCAAAGGGGAGTTCATCGTGCTGCTCTTTGTCTCCCTCAGATTCTCACATCTGTTTTCCTTGCAAGGGACTTTTGACAGCGCTGGACTTAACAGACCTTGAATGTGAAGGTAAACCTGTCACCGGGCACCTGTGGATTCTCCTTCTGACTGTTTGTGCTCACAGTGCTGTCTGTTGCTATTCAGAGCCCTGTTTTGTTTTCAGCTGTGTGACAGCAAGGCTCTAAGTTCAGCACAGGAGTTGTCTGTTGGCCTGCCAAAGCCAAAAGACAGCCTGCAGCAATTCCGAGTGGTGGGTGAGACGTAGCAACCCTTGGGATCATTGCTTAGCAACTGCAAACACACCGAGGAGTAAACCTCACTGCCCGGATCTGCAGCAGGCCTGAGAAGTCCCTATTTCACCTTGAGATCTCTCATGCTTGAGAACTGATGGGCATCTATTCAATTCCTGTTCGCTTGCAAAGCCACTCTGAAAGCAGGAAGAATAAAGTCTGATTTGATACCTGCTCGAAAGGTAAGGGAAAGAGTTCTGTAGAGCTTCAGAAAAGAAAAGAGAAAAAGAAAGCCTTTGTTTCATGATCAGATATGAAAAGGGCAAGAGGGTGTTGGGCTCCTTGTGATGGGTGAGTGCATGGAGCACTTTAGCAAAAGGCAAAGCTATTGCTGAGCATCAGAGATTGGACTGATTTTGAAAGGGCTTCTGCAACCCAAACATCTCCAAAATATTTACCTGCACAAACTTCAGCCCTTCCTGGCCCTCCTGGTATCCCACCGCTCAGAATGCCCTCGCAGAGGAACAGCAGAGCCATAAACGCCTGATTTATGAGCAGGTTTGGGTTTTGCACAGAAGATGGAGAGGTCATCATTTTGTGCCTGCAGGGTTTGCAGCAGGAACACTTCTCTCCCAGCCAAGGAGCTGGGAAGTGGCATCCTACTGAATAATGAAACGCTTATCTTGCCTTCAGCTTGAACAAAGGCTTGAAGGAAACTTTATATCACATTTGAAATGTCCCATGTGTTCCTAAACCTGCTCTGTGCGCACTGTTCTTACATTATTTGGACTGTCAAGCCTCCACTTAGAAATATCATAGCATTTGAGAGCTCTGTGTCTGATGGGCCAAATTCTCAATGCAAATGTAACTGATGTGAATCAGCGTTGAAGTTTATCAGCTGATAACTCCTTCCACAAGCAGGAGTTTATCTCTGTAATCACTGAGCAGCTCCAAGTTTTAGGGATTGATCCTGGCACCCTTCTGTCATTTATTTGGAAGTCCATGCTGTGCGTGCCCTCTTCCATCCCTTCACTGCTTGATTTGTCTGCTCTGCCCTACAGCCATCAGCGCGGCCCCATGTGCCCTGTTCCCCTCTTGGGGTTATGCCAATGCTGTGGGACTGAGAAAAAACAGCTGCACTTCGGTTCTTCTGTTGTTCAGAGATGCAGAGGCACTTCATAAACATTTACTAGCCCACAGAATCATCCTAACAAATAGTTGAGGGCAATGTAGGGAATACATTTGTCATCGCTGAGAACGAGGCACCCCCTACAGCAGAGCGCATTTGCTGTTATAACATTGTGCAGAATCTGAGGAGCAGTTTCGTAAATGATGTCAAAAAAGAACTGCAAGAACAGTTTATTTTGGCACGACAAAACCAGTGGATTTGGAATGTGAGCAGAACATTTGGTTAACACCCTGCTTTGAAGCAGGAGGAGTCTGGTTTCACAGCTCATTGAGAGAAACCCACCTAAGCCAGGAATGATTTGACAGGGTTGACAGGTTTCCTTTGCTGCCCTTATAAATCTGCACTCCCTCTACACTCGGTGCCCTTTGGTGGCAAAAACAGCTGCCATTCTCCCAGCACTGTGGATCAGGCAGGCAGCCCAACCATAAATCCATCCCACTCCCTAGCAGGTAATCAGCATTGCAAACAAATTACCAGGAGATGCCACCGAGCTCATCTAGAACCAGTCATAGAAATGTAATGCTGTAAAGCATCCTACCTACCCCAGCAATATTTGGCTTCAGATGGTGGTTATGAGCCAGGAGGTCAAACTGTTAGCAATTATGTTTGGGTGCCAGGAGGGCTGTAGATCACATTTATGCGTTTCCTGGAAGGTTGAACGCTCTTCAGAAAACAGCTACAAATGCTTAAATACATAGAGCAAAACTGAGCAAAAGCAGTGGTATTTTTATGGGTACTGAAAGGCCTCTGTGAAAAAGGAATATTGTGGCAGCAAGTTCAGAGCAGGGTTTCATCTTTGGTTTGGAAGGCTGTCAGTTTGGCTGTCTGTCAGTGTCAGTTTGGCTGTCTGTTCGTGTCACCCTGCCCTTGCTGTTGCTGAACACTGAGGTGGCTGGTTGTTTTTTTGTTTTGCTGGTGGTTTTTCATGCTGTAAATCATGTGGGGAGGCCCCACCGTGCTCCATTCCATTTGTGTGAGCCCCGCTGCAGATGCAGCCCGTTGTGTTTGGAGACACACAGCAGTCGTTTCCAAACTGTGCCCCGTGAGCAGCTCAGTTCCTTCCTGGTATTTCGCAGCGTTAATGGTCTGAGAAAAAAGTGATGGAGTTGGGAAACTGTGACACAAAATGTCTGCAATTGTATAGATCTGCCTTTTACAAAACAGCCACAAGCTGAAGTGCTTGTGAAGAACCTCATTGCGCTCTGGGTTCCCTTTCTCAAAACATCCAGTAGAAAAAAAACTGCAGAAGTTGCCATTAAGGGGGAATCCACTGGTTAGAATGGGGAGAGACTTCAGAGCAACGTCCAGCCCTTGGTTTCTGACTCCCCAAGTGAACTGGAATTAATCTCTTCCCTCTTGTGTCTCAGTTTCTTCTCCTATAAAAGAGGAACGGTTATTTAGCTGCTCTGTCTCCAAGGGCTGTTGTGATACATAATTAATCTTTATAAATCATTCACTAATCTTTGAAGTAAAGGGGTCGTATTTAAGAGTACAAAGCAGCATAAGAGAACAGAAAAGGCAGGTAGGAGCAGAGTGTTGGTTAATAAAGCTGTAGGTTTCCTGACTGTGCCATCTGCTAAGACACCGCTGCATCTTTTGGCATCGTGTAACATATCTCTTTTGTTCTGTGTCTCAGTCATTGGTGTACGGCTGCTCAGCCAGAAGAAATGGCCCAAGCTGGAGGTCTGAAGCATCCCAAAGCTGGAGATAAGTGTATGGCTGCCTCAGGAACGGAGAGAAGCCAGGGTTGTGCTGAGCTGCCATGTCTCAGTGATCACGCTCCGTGGAAAGAGTGCTTCTATGAAAAGGTGCAGCAGAGGTCCCTGCGTCTGCAGGAGGCGAAGGTGAAGGCGATTCGTGCACAAAAGGCAGAAGAAGAAAAGGAAAACAAGCGAGAGCCCTGCGATGGGCTGTGCCAGGAGTGGTTCAGGAATGAGGAGCAGTCTCTGGATGCTCGCACCTATTTGACGGACAAACTCCTACCGACGTTAATCCCAGGGGTGGAAAAACTGTTAATGGAAATAGAAAGGAAGGACGTGCTGGCCCCAGGCACGGAGCATGCCAAATTTGACCCCATCACTTTTCTTGGGGAATATCTGATGAGACATAACCCTCAGTATGACACCTGTACCAAACCGGGCCCCTACCTGAGGGGACTGAACGTGGTCACAGAGGAGCTAAAAAGAGAGATCCCAGATACGGCATCGGAGAGGTGAGAGACCTGCAAGTGTGAGAGGCCACGGGATCACAGCTGGTGTGCTGGGCTGTGCTCCACAAAAGGTGTGGGGTGGCAGAATGAGCCGCGACTGTCAGCCTGTAATAAACATGAGGAGCAGAACAAACAGAACGTGTCACAGGGAACAGAACAGCAGTCCTTCCTGTCTAGGGCCATATGCCACCCTTTGCAAGTATATAATTCCCCTTTAGACTCTATCTTAATTGCATACGTGGGGTGTAAACTACTTCCAAGCCAGCCTAGGTTAGTGACAGCAGTTTTTAGGTACAGTGTCAGTATCAAAGGTCTATGGACTCTTTCACACCATTTTTTTCCAAAGTTCTCCCCAACTCAGTTAACATGACTGCTTTAGTCATGCAGTCTGATAATGCCCTCATTTTAATTGCTCTTTTTATATAAAAATACAGAAGTGAACACTGTGTTTGTAGATGAACCTTTGGTGACTGAGAATGATGTCAAAATTACTCATTCACTCCCAGATCACCTATAGCTGTGTTTGTGTGTAATGACTCCTGTGTGAATGGCTCTCTTCTATTTGCATGAACAGCACATAGAGCTTGAAAATTGGTTTTGGGGTTTTGGTGTCAGGAATTAGGGAAGTAAAATGTTGACATGCCTTATGCATCGTCTCTACATGAAGGTAATTAAAGCTGCCAGTATTGTAATGAATAAAATAGTATGTTAAATATCTCTCTCTAGCTCTCTGAGTTTCTGTCTCCCTACATTTCTAGTGCACATCATAGGAGCACGCTCCATGTGAGTGCAACTAAAGCGGTGTGATGAGTGCCATGCAGTCACTTCATTCCTTGTTGCCTACAGATAAATTGTAACTGATTTATCGTGGTACACACAACAGTTTTTTTTTCTTTCCTTTTTTCTTTTCTTTCTGGAGATGCAGACTGCAGTGTTGGCTTCCTGTGCCTTTGACCTCATCTTGTTACGCTGTGTGCACGTTTGGAGACAGATCCTCTGTAGCTGTGGGAGGTTCAGAACTGCTGCAGAGGAAGCGTCGCTCAAGGGCTGCAATCTCTGCCAAGGGGGTTTATGCAGCCAGAGCTGTCGCAGGCTTTGCATATCAGCTGGTTGTAGTATCATGGGATTTGCATTCTCGGTAGCTCAGGATTTACATATTTGTGATGGCTGTATTGAGGAACTTGCATAGGATTCTCAAACCACAGCAGTGCAGAGGATTGTATGTAGCACTGAGACGCCTGACGTGAGTCATTGGCTTTCTAAGCAGGAAGAAAATGTTAGCAGAGAAATGCCAGTTTGGGCTCAAAATCTCTCACATAAGCACTAGTAAGATGAAGAGTGAAATTCTGGCTGCAGAGAGGCTCCTGAAGCCTTGGCACTACCTTCAACACAGGCAGATTTCACTGCAGATTCCTTTCTGAAGCTTACCAGTCCTTCCTCGGGCTTCTCTCCTTAACCAGAGCCTGACTGGGAGTCAAAAAATGAGGGAGAACAGATGGGAGAAAATCCTTATCTAAATGGATGGATACCTTAAAGCAGAGACTGTATTTTGTTTGGGGATGGGAGTCCTTCAGTCTGAGTCAGCCGTCCTTGTGTGGGAGTCAGGCGGCTGTCTCCATGAGGGAACATGTTTCATTCTGCAGTGAGAACACCCTCACCACCATCATCTCCTATTTGCTGGAACTGCCTGACACTGAGCTGAGCTCTCTTTAAAATCACAGGATTTAGTAACTCACTCTTGAAAGTGCATCAACTGAGAGAGTTGTGCCCCAAATCTCAAGTGATGCTTTGGATGTAAATGTGCTTTTACTAAAAGGACAAGAATTTCACCAACATATTTCCTTTGTTTTTATTCTTTAGGAGTGGTTTAACCTCTCTTCTTTCAGCTGGTGTATGATGGTATTGTCTAAATCATATTCCTATGTCCTACAGGCTGGCCAGGATGAAATCTGAGGCAAAAACCAAACGTAAGGAAAGAGAGCAGGCAGACAGAATGAAGTGCCAGCAGAAAGAGATGAGAAAAGCAGCACTGGCAACTCAGTTCAAAGAATGGAGAGCGGATGTCAGTGGCAGAGTACCAGTTGCACTGGTAACCAGGCTTGATATTTGGTAACACACTGCTATGGTTGTTGCAGATGGGAGGAAGGGCGAGCTGGTGATGGTGCAGTCTGCCCTGGAGAAGCACTCTGCAGTGGAGGGTTGGCAGTGCTTGGTAGTGACCCTGACGTCCCTTGGGTCAGGGTGCAGTTTGGTGTCTGACACCTCTCCAAACCCTGGGAGAACGCAGAAAGGCTGCAGTGCTTTCCCTGCAGATGGAGCCAGATGTACCTGCAGGCACAGGGCAGCCAGCCTTGCTCTCCTCTGGGCCCCATTACATCTTCTTTCTAGCCCTATGACTCATACAGATTGACACCAGAGCTTGTAAGAGATGAGATTTGAACTCATCTTAATGATCTCTCGGAACGAGCATCCTTCTTCCAAGTCACACGAGCCCTCTAGGAAATTGCCCTGTGTTTACATGCACAGCAATGAAAACAGAGCCTACATTTAGCAGGGCCTTCCCATTTGAAGTGAGGAGCGTGGCTGCCCCATACAGCTGTCCCACACGGCTGATTACTCAGCATGGTTTACTTCAGCATTTGCCAGCCGCTGTCTGCATGAAGCAGCCCTCTGTTACTTTGATTTCTAGATTCAGAGTGCATTGAAGATTTTTCTGGATGTCTGTGCTTCTACTCCCATAGATGCAAGAAAAGGTAAATTTTTTATGTCTTTAGTTTTATATTAATGACTGTTTAGGGTTTAAGGATGAAACTTGCTTCACATCGCACCAAGGAGCACATCTTGTCTAGCTGTTGTCTTTCCCAGTCCCAACACAGGGGCCTCTGTATCAGCACAGAAAGGTTTTCCATAATTCCCATCCCATTTATGGCTCACACTTGACCTCTCTGAATAATGATGATTGGGTAGATAGAGCCAGGAATATTGAAGTGGCAACATTCAGCCTGCTGCCAGCCTTTTGCATAGATAGCCCATAATGATCATCAATGATAACAAATCTGCCTTTGCTAGAAGCAGGGCATTTCCAGAGGGTATTTCTGCTTGCTGCTGAAGTAACCTCTGTCTCAAGCTCTCCCCGCTCAGCCCTTTCTAATTAATGAACTGCTCCTCTGAGCAATCATCCTCCATGGGCAGTGCACGGTGTGAATGCCAAACAGAGCCTGAATGCTTCTGGTGCAGAGTTCTCCAGTGCAAACAGATCCTGGGACATAGAGCTGAGAAGGAGGTTTCTGTCTGGGTGCTGGCTCTGCAGACACAAGAGGTGCTTCATGTTATGTTCACTGACACGATGCTTCATTTCTCTGTATTTAATTTAATTGCACTCCCAGTATATATGGTAATGGAACACTAAGCTTTGCTTTATAGTTAAGCAACAAAGGTAAATGCATCCCATGGCAAATGCTCTCGTTACCCCTGATGTACTGTGGGATAAAAAACAGGAAAGTGATCCCAACAGAAATAGCGTGTTGGCCTCAAAGGCCTCAGTGAGAAATGTGTGCAGATGTTTGATATCTTCCCAGTTCCTTCAGCAGCCCACCAGCAGATAGTTTTGAATATCATCGTTGGTAAAATGTTTCCTGCAGAGCTATTTGGGAAGATCACTGTGATTTTCACACTCCACTCTTGTGAAGCAGAACTGATGTCCCCGAAAATTTCGGGCGTTTTCATCTGTTCAATCAAAACTGATTTCTTTCCTCACATAATTGGTGGTAACTGCTGTTAAAATGGTTGAAATTGCACCAACATCTGTCAAGAATAAATACAAACAAACTGTTCTGAATAGGGGAGTGCAGATTCCCAGCAAGAGAAATATTCTCAGTAAGAACCAGATTTAGATAGCCTCTCTGCAGCCAGACCCTCCACATCCTTGTCACTTCCAGCTGCAGTGTAAGACAGCCTCAAATGCATGTAGTCCAACACGAGGAGATAATGCAGCATACTGCATGCACAGATGTGTGTACAATGCAAAGCACAAACCTCCTGAACCAACATCCCTTCATTTTTTGCTTGCAGCCTATGAGAGGAAGCTGGAGATCACAGACACCTGGGGGAAAAACGTGAACGTTGATGAATTCATAGAGGTAAGAAATGGAAAGAAGGGTCTGATCAGAAGGTGATGTTCACCACAAGGCAGTACTGTTTCCCCATGGACAGTTGAATGAGTGAAGGGCTTTGGTTTTCTGCAGCACCCCTGGTAACTGATGAGGGTCTAAGAAATTAGGACAATTCGTGTTCCATCCCCATCCTCTGCTGTCACAACGCTTTCATCCAGGCCAGCATCAGAGGCACCATTTGCTTTCCTCAGCCCTGCTGGGCAGTTATCCTAACAGCAGTGCTCTTCAGAACACCCCTCTCAACCCCTTTGCAGAGCTCCCAGTCCCACTGCCACCTGTGCACTGCAAGGACACGCACCGTGATCCCCTCCTGAAGTCACATTTTGCAATGGCTGCACGAGAGTTGTGGTGTGCCCATATAACCAATTAGCCTGAGGTAATTAATACAGTCCCCAGTGTGTAATTATTTCTGATGAAACTCCGCAAGCCATAGGAAACCCTCACGAGTGATGAGAAGCTCTATGTTTTCAGCCCTGAACTGGCCTGAAACCTAACCAGGCTGTAACAGATGGCTGAAGGCTGTGTGAAGGATAACCAGGTTGTAAAATCAAAAGCTGTCACTGAGAAACATCAGAAGCGTGTTTGTGACTTTCCAAAGCCACTGAAAGTGTCACCTCATTACTCCACTCTTCATCGGTCTGAAAACAACCAAATCAGTTCCAACTAAATTATTGCAAAGCTTTCCAGGCCAGGGCTTCACCCACCATTTCTCCCCGTGACACAGCTGCATTTCACAGCTGGGTTATTAAACTTGGGAGAAGAAGTTTGGGATGGAAATGATGACAGCCTGGAGTGCAGCAGTGCTGGTGGGTGCTGTTATGGTAATTAAAAACAGGGCACAAAGCTGTGCAGATGAGTCTCCAGCAGCCACGTGTGATTTTTTGTGCTTTCTTTGCTCTCCGGAGGTTCACACGTTCAGCATTTTGCACAGAGATACATTTTTATGATAGCTTGTTGATGGCTTTTTTAAGCACGAAGTGAGATATTTTTTAAATGTAACCTCGGAATAACTGCATTTTATTAAGGACTCTGTTGTGGATAACGGGAGCCCAGAGAATTGCTTGCTGTTAGGGAAGCGCAGCGTGGATGCATAACCTCAATGGAAGGTGTGCAGCACCGAATGAACCAACAGAGAAATGCTCTCAAGTATTTTCTGTCTGCCTGTTATTGTAACTCAGTGAAAGATAGGAGACCAGAGGGGAGATGTGCAGTAGGCACAGGCTGCCAGGCTGTGCAGCTGCTGTCCTCAGAGCACATCCTGTGCTCCTGCTTCCATGCAGTCGTGATGGAACCAAGTGATGGGTTTGCATGGCTTCCCTCAGGAAACACAGCACAGCCACAGATCTTGTCTTCAGCACAGTGCTGTCCCCAGTCCTCAGCCACTACCTGCCTTTGCATCACCCAGGCTAAGGGCTGCTCCCTCCCCATGCCCGTCTTTGGCCTTTTCATGTGTGGAAGGCATTGCTTTTTAAAGGAACTTAACATGAATTGGCTTTTTTACTTTTTCTTCCTTGAATTCAGTGCAGCTTTTGGTCACAGGCTGTTAGAAACTCTGGACAGTTTTTGATTTACTTATCTGTAAATGTGAAGTTCAGCATGCGGAACTTCCAGCACTCTGACACCAAGGGAAATGCTCACATGGCTTTATGGGGTCCAAATCAGGCTTTAGAGGTGAGGCTATTCTTCATGAGCGCACATGGCTTGCTCAGTTCCCATTGAGATCAGTAGGAACAAAAAGCAAAGCATCACTGTTATTGATGATAGTGCATTGACGGCGCAGCCTCACACTGGATAGCAGTGAGGAGGCGTGAGCTTTCTTCTGAGGAGTGCCCAAATCTCTTGGTTACTAATGAACAAATGTGCACTGATCACATGTACAATATTTCACCCTCCAGAGTGCTCTACGCACATCAGCTAAGGAAAGCTTGCAGCTCCACAACAGTTCCTCCTGCCCCCACAGCCCGACAGACATTTCTAAGCAACGTTCTGAGGGGCTGTCAGACAGCAGTGTTAATACACAGGGCTCTGTGTGTGTCACCAGGATGCCATGCCAAACAACACGCTGCTTCCCAACTGCCTGCCCATAGGATCGCTGGCACAGAGCTCCGGGCTGCAGCTCTGTCAATGCACACAGCCCCAGCTCCATCACCTCCTCTCCAGCCCCCCGTGCCCTTCCTTTTGTGCTGAGATGCAGGAAGAGCTCACACTGTATCAGGAGCCATTCTTTGCCCCCAGCCGCCCTTCTGCTCTTTCTCTGCTCCCATGTATTTGGATATTATGCAGTACAACATGAATAATACTACATATGTTAATATTTCAGGTTGGTGATGCCTGTGTGGCGTTTCAGCAAGCTCAGGGTGCTCTGACACCTACATCAAGTATCCGTGGTCTAAAAACAGGATAAGGAGAAACATTGTGTGTTCTGCACATTCTTCTCTTTCCCTTCCCCACCACTGCAGCCCAGCAACCTGCTGTAGTAATTCAGCTCAGGGTTTGGGGCTGTGGTTTGCTCTGATGGCTGTCATTATTTATGTCACACACGCTGCATTTTTAGAACCATACTGTTTTTGCTCATAAAAACCACATGACTATAAATCCAAAGTGTTAAAATGTCTCCAAGGCTGGAGCTCAAAATAAATCTCAAGTCAGCAGTACTCCCTGTGTCAGAGGGCTGGGATGGCAGCAGGCTCATATGCAAGAAGTTCTTTCCTTTTCTTACTGTGTCCAGAGCGCTCTTCTAAACACTGCAAGGATGGGCAGTGGTCAGTTGTGGCATTAGAGACCTCAGTGAATGTCAGATCTGCAAAAACGAGTGGCTCAGCTTGCCTTGTTGGGAGCGGAGTCAGGAGCACTAAATGTTGCAGAAAGCTCAGAGAACGTGTCTGCTGCCTCCTGAGGTGTCCTATCTGAGGCATTGATGCTCCACAGGAGGGATTCTGATGTGGTTGCTAATCCCTGGACCAGGACCTCACGCAGCAGCACGTTGGGCTTGTTGGGAGAACAGTGCTGCTTCTGCAAGGAAGAGCAAAGCGAGCGGTGCAGTGCCCATGCACGGAGTCTGCATCACATTGGCAGGCTGATCTGCTTACAAAGCCCTGCACTTTTCATTCCAAGTGATCGATTCTGAAGAGCTGAACTAATGGTGAAAATGCTTGGGGGATGCCAATGGCTTACACTACTGCTTTCTCTCCATAGTATGTCCATTCCTACACGGAGAACTTTCCAAATGATGCATTCCAAGGGGTCCTGAAGCATCTCAGTCAGTGTGCTGCTGACTTCCAAGAATCCATCAGGCGTGATACATGCAGGCAGATGTTTATTGATCTCTTCCTACATTGTGATCGTGGACAGGTAAGCAAAGCAGCTCCCAACCTGATTTCACTGCTTCTACTTTGATATTTCTCTGGGTCGCTGCCTTGTTGTGGTTCGTTCCTCCAAAAACTTTGGCCACTGCACAGCAAACAGTTGCCATTGTTCTGCAGTTCTCTCCTCTACATATATGGCATATTCCATTCAGCACTCCTCTAATCATCCTTATAGCTGTCCTACCCAGAATGGACGAATGTGCTCTACGATGTCATGCTGAAAATGTCATTAGCTCCAAGAGAACAGAATCACAGAGCACATTTTGACACCAGTGCTGTGTTTTAGAGAATGGCAGCAAGCTGCTATTTCAGGATGAGGAAAGAAATGTGTCCATTACTCAGTCAGAACACATTTCATTTTGCTATTGCTCTATCAGTAGCTGAGCAGTGATGGATTCTCCTGGGCAGAGCAATATATAAGACTGAGTCCCATCGCCAACATGCATTCTGAAATGTTCCCTTTTTCCCCTTTCATGTTTTAGTGTGGCTTTCTTCCTGTTACTTCTGTGGCAGTAATCACCACATCCACCCACAGAGGAGATAAACGATGCACACTGACCCATGGACATGCACCATTCTCAGTGTGCCCCACCACCTGTAGCACCCACTCTGCAAAGCACAGCAGAGCAGCTGTTTCAGCTCCTGATTTCCATTCATTCGGCAGCAGGCAGTTATTCCAGTCTGCATGGCGAGCATGGCTGGCCATCAGGGAGCTGCAATTAGGGCTGAGAAAGCAGTGTTTAAATTACACTCAGATTAGAAGGCACCCACATGCTTGTGATGATGATTTTGGATGCACGCATGCGGAAGGATGGCAGCTCAGGGTGAACTGCCTGAGCTGTGCAGCAAGGCAGGACCTCCCCAAGGCAGCACCACAACATGGATGAGTCACCAGCTGAACGCCCCCAAAGTACAACAAAGTCTGCCCTCTCATTACCTTTCCAAGCGCCCATCCCCACCTTGCTCACCACCAAGCTCATGGTGGGGCTGAGGAGACACACCTCGTGTTTCCAGAAGAGCAATCAGGCAGTCAGACACCGACCTGTCGCTCATTACATGGCAAGTCTGCTTTTGTCTGCATCAGTAAAGGAATTAAACGTGGATCAGAGAGCTGAGCTGAAAACAACCACAGGTCATCACCTGCCAGCATCGAGGTGACGAGGAAAGGAGGTCAGCACGCTCTCCGTTCCCCACAGTTGGCACTGAAAGCAAAGCTGAGCTTTGGGCAGTTGTACAAACACAGATGGCCCGCTGTTATTTATATGGGCTCTGTACCTGTCCTGCTGATTAGCAACTCAGTGCAAGGGGTTGGGATGCAGCAATCGTTCTTTGGGCTGTTTTTAATAAGGCTTTATTCATTGGTTTACATCTTCTATAAAATGAAGCTTTGCATTAGCGCTGCCAGCTTCAAGGCAGCCTCCAGATGATTGTGATAAGTGACAGCTGAAGAAATGTGAAGAGCAAATTAAGTGTGTACAATGGAAACACTGAATGTAGAATCCAAATATTACAGAGTCATCTGATAACATCCACCTATTTTTGTGTTTGTGTATAGAATCACAGGATCACAGAGTCGTTCCAGTTGGAAAAGATCTCTCAGATCCCTGTGTCCATCCTCACCATGCCCACTGATCACAGCCCTCAGTGCCACATCCCACAGCTCTGGGACACCTCCAGGGATGGGGATCCCCCCTTCCTGTGCAGCTGTGCCACTGCAGCACCACTCTTTGGAGAAGAAATTTCCCCTAATATCCAACCTGAACCTCCCCTGGTACAACGTGAGGCCATTCCCTATTAAATAGATGTTTCCCTGCTAAAAGGATGCAGAATTCAATATGATCCATTCAATTGCAAGACAGAATCACAAGTCAGTGAGTCCTGCCCTTTCTCCTCTAAGTGCAAAACGTGAAAAGGAAATCAATAATTTGAAAGCAAAGCTACCTGCCACAAATAAACGGGAGCAAATCTGTTAGCTAATTAACTACTGTAGCTCACTAATGGGAGGAAGATTACAAAGGTGGCAGGGCTGAAATAATGACAACAGGAATTCACTGTAACGTGGAGGCCTTGCAATCATTTGCTTTACTTTTTAAACTCAGTTTCCCCGCTAGCAGTGGCCCATTCCTTTGCCTTTTCTTGGTCTGATTGCACACACTCCCTTTTAGCTGCAAGAACTTAATGAACTCTGTGTTTTCCTCTGCACTCACCTCTCCCACCCCTGTGCTCAACTCTGCATGAATATCTGAAGGAAGTTTGGGTGGTTGTCAGATCTGGGGGCTCATGATCTTCCCAGGCAGTTGGACAGATGATGCTGCAAAGGAAGCAATGGGGCACAAAACCAAACCTCAATGCCATGCAGCACAGTGGCAGTCCTTCCATGGTGCTCTCAGGCAATCCATTCCCATCCTGAAAGCATCAGCTGTCATAGGATGTGCTTGCACAGCACTCTGTTACAAGTTCCAGATAAGCCCAAAGAAGGAATTTTTGTCCTTGTAAAATAAACTGACTTCTGTGAAACACGTTCCCATGTTCTGCTCATGGATAATGTTCTGTCATACACAGTTCTTATGTGATGCCTTTTAATGCTCCAAATGTCCACACGTGTCCCGAGAACCAGAGCAAGAAAGCAGCACAGTAACTGTCATCTCTCTGTCTAGGTTGGTGTCTTGGATAGACCCCAAATACTTGGCCTTCTGGAGCAGTTCTATGAGAGGAGCTCTGTGTGTGCCAGGAGGAGATTCCGCAACCCCAAACAGTGTATGTGGGGTGTTTCAGTTAAACAGCATGAATTTGTCTTGTTAATATCCATTTATAAGTATGGTTGGAAATGGACCTAAATGGGCAGAGTGAGCTGGACACCATCATTGGCAGAGGTTTTGCAAACCATGATGCAGTGCTCAGAAATACTGCAGCATCACAAACCTCTCCTTCCTCCACCATTCTGCAGTGCTTCTCCTGAACAAATTCTTTCTTACTGGGGATTATTGGAGGTTAATGGTCTGTTTACACAAAAACTTCTCTGGGAATTTAGAAGAATAAAGAAAAACCACAGAAAGTGGTTTTCACCTATGTGAAAGTAAGGGATTTTAAGATACTGGACGTCAGTTAACTGCTGGGATCAAAGACAAGGCAAATTGCAGCCTTCCTTTTTGCATGGAGAGTTGCAAAAATATATTGCAAAAGAAACATGGAGCAAGAGGCAGTAAGGAGCAGTTCTCTGCAGGGGAAGATTTTGTTAAGTTTGGCTTTTCTGAGATGATGTCCGCAGAAAATATTTTCTCTCTTTGACATTACAGTGTGAGGGAATGCCATTTATTTTGGTTTAGTTGAATTTTTGTTTTCTTGTGCAATCCTAGCGAACAAAACCAGTGCAATCCACCAACTTATCCATGTTGTTTCTGCATTAGGGCCAATAGTTGAACTGCAAGAGGTCAGACTGGAGGATCTGTGGGGAGACCTTGAGGACCAGGAAGATTATGAGGAACCCAGAGAAGGTTTGGTTTTGTCTCAACCAGAGATTTCTGAGAGAGAAGTTTTAGCACGTGAACCTGCAGGTGAAAACAGGCAGGGAAGTGATGGAACAATGGAACAAATGGATGTGAGTGAAACAGAGACCGGAGGAATTCCTAAGGAAGAAAACCAAGCAGCAGAATCAGGTGGTGCTGAGGTGAGGAAGGGAGGTGAGAAACACTGATTTTGAACCTGGTGATTTGGATGGAGGTAGAATGCACAGTGAGAGGCACGGTGAGTCTGCAGGGGCAGGAGGGAGGAAGCTTCCCCAGGGCAGCTTCTGCTCAGAACTGTCTCAGCAGAGATGAAAATGAATCTGACAAACAGGCGGGGGACCAAAACAGTCTGAAGATGCGCCTGAAGCTGTGAACAAGATGTCAAAAGACAAAGCTGTGGCAGACACTGATGTCATTGCTTCCAAACAGGACACTGCAGAGGCCATGGAGGAACCTCCTGCAAGAAAAGAGGGTTTCACAAGTCAGCACAGCAACTGGTTTGAACAGCAGACAAGCTCAGGGACAGCACTGCAGGATGAGGACTGTCTGCAGGAGCCAGGTGAAGGTAAAGGCTTCTCCTTTGTTGTGCCAGACCTTAACCTTCAACGTACACATTTTTATTGGATCAACTACAAGAGCACATGCATGTGAGTGATTTCTGACCAGCCAAGCCTTTGCTGTCTGCTCCGTGGGATGTTTTCCATCAGGGTTTCATTGCCAGGAGCTCACACTGTGCACTCTGGTTCACAGATGATTTGTTTTTAACACTGCAGGCCCAGCCCTCTCAGACGGACCGGGTTCTACTGCTGCAGACAGCCAGGAGCGTGAGGAGCCACGGCCAGGTACTGCTCATGTCAGATCTCCTCACCTACACAATATGTGTGCATGTAACAGCTCTCACAAAAGCTGTATCTTAGGACTTTTTATAAATCTTATGTCCTTACAGGCTGTATTTTGTCTTTTATCAGGTGATCTTCTCACCTTCGATCTAAGCTTCAGGCATGGAAGCCATGGAGAGAAAATTCCAGAGGACTGGGGCTGTGAGAACAGATTTCCAGGTATTTGGCCACAAAGCTGTGCTTTCACTGGGCACACGGTGACTGGCAGGGTCTGTGGGTGTGCTGTGAGCAAGAATACAAACACCAACTGCTGAAAGCTGACTGCAGGGAGGGAGAGCAGCACAGTCTTAGTCTCACAAGGTGGGTCTCTCATTCAGTTAACCCATATTCAGTGCTTTGCTTTAATTGCACAATAGCATCCATGCTAGACTGGAGCAAAAATCGAAGAATCTGAATGCATAAAGTGCAAACAGATCAAGGCCTTCCATCAACGCAGACTCAGTCTGCACTCAGCCCACACGGCTGGGAAGCACAGGGCTCAGGGGTGCTGCTGCTTTGCAGTCGGTGCAGCACAGCAGGCAGCTTGCTGTGACACACGGCGCTCACTGCCTTTCAGACCTCCACCCCACCGTGGCAGACATTCGGAGTCGCAGTGCTCCTCGTGCTGGGAGCCCCTTTGATGGAAGCTGCCTCAACCTGCCGCGCTTTGTTCAGCTGATGGAGACATTCCTCGGGGAAGGCATCGCTCTGCCTGCCGTCAAGGGGCTCGTTGGGTTCATCAAAGAAGAATACAAACAGACCGAAGAGGAAAAAGTGAAACAACTAGAAAAGGTAAATATTTATAAGTTTTGCTGATCACGTGTCCACAAACAAAACTAAGCAATGCCGGGAGACAACGGCACATCTTTTAATCTTGTGCTGGCAGAGCTATTCTCTTCCAGCCCTGTGTTCTGTATTTCTTCTGCCCTGTTGTTTCCCCATCCTCAGCTCTGAGCTCTAGCAGAGAGAACACACTCATCCTGTAGGAGGTTATCTGTTCTGGACCCAGTGAGACAGCAGGGTGATGGTGATGAGCTCAAAACATTCTGTTCTGCTTAGTCATGTCCATGGCAGTCAAGAGCCTGATGTGTGACCTGCTGCTCTGGCATGCACACATGAAGTTATGGGTGTTCTGGTGAGGGCTTTGAGGCACCCCTCCACCACGCTGCTTTTGCTGTATGTGCACAGGTATTTGAGAATGTGGGCATTTCTTTGTGGTTAAGTTACAAGGGGCTTTTGCAAAGTGTTGGAAAAATACACCTCCTGTCAGCAGCATTCTCATACTCAGCATCATGTGCATAGATATGTAAGTCCCTGTATTTCCCGTGGACCTGTTCACAGCATTTTCTCTAGCTGTGCCTTCCTCAGAAATCTCTCTGGTTTCCCTCTGTGCTGCTGACCTAATTTGGATGAGATATTGGATCTGACGGCTCCTCATGTCCTCACATGGAGCACAGCACACTGCTGGTATTTCAGCCTTAGACACAGTGCCACTCAGTGCCATTTATCACCACACACTGCACCAAGGCTGGCACCAAAGGAGAAACTGTATCTGCATCTTGGAGCCCACACACTTCAGGGCAAAACCAGGCAAACAGCATGGAAACACACACCGTCAAACCTTCCGTCCTGCTGGCAAGGCTCTGCTTAGTTCTTGCCATGGAGATGTTTGTGCTCTGGGAAATTCCCACTTGCCTGAGTTGGTCTCATCTCTCACCCATGGGAAATGCCCCTCTGCAGTTCTGATTCTGCCAGGTAGCATTGAGCTGTCTGCTCCATTTAGTGCTTCCAAATATCTCCCGGGTTTAATGATTCATCTCTGAGCTGTCTGCTCACAGTTCTGCCCTGGTCCATAGGGGCTGTGTGATCAACCCACTGCTGCAGCTCCCGTATCTGTGCAGATGTTAAGCATCTCTGTTGAGGAAGCACCAAACAGGAGCTCTTTCTCTGTTGTAGGCACATCTCATCTCTCGTTCGGCCCGACGGGAACGGCTTCTGGAGGCACTTTTTGAGAAGTGGGACATCAATGCATCTGGGTTTCTGGAGATGAAAGAGGTGGAGGCTGCTATGAATACATTCAAGGAAGGAATGGAAAAAGAAGCTGTGAGGAAAGGTAAGGAAACAGCTGTGCTCTGAGAGGAGTCATACAATGTCAACACAATAGGCCTTAAAGCATTCAAGGACGGTGCTAACGAATTCGTTGGCAAGCACCTGGAATGTTTTGGTTTTGCAAGCAGTCATAAGCACATAAGGCCTGATGTGTAAAATGAAAAGGAACTGTTATCCTGACCTGCTTGTTAATGCACAGCTCCATCCCCTCCTCTGCAGGACTCTCCAGGGAGAGTGGTTCTTAATCAGAGAGGTAGCCCAGAGCTGTCACAGCACTGTGATGTGTTGAAAAATGGTATTGGCAGTTAATATGGAGTGTATGGTTGGCTGTAATATGGAGTGTATGTTCCGGAGACAGCAGTGAAAACAAACCAACCAAGCAACAAAAACCCTAAAGCCTGAGGACAGGCTTCATACTTTTAGTCTAGCCTGTGTTATCCTGCAATTTTTGATGGATATATTTTACTACAGAGTCCATGCAGGGCTCATGTGGTGTTCAGTAATCCATACTCTTGCTCAGTTCTCATGAATGAGACAGTAACTCCAAGTCTCACTTCACTATTAGTCCAGTAATGTCGGTCCTTGACAGAGGCCTGGGGCAGCCAGAAGTGCAGCAGGTTCACCCAGGTCTGTCCAGCAGCTTCATACGTGGCCATCACTGAAATACCAGATTAGCAATCAAGAACATGTCTGTGTGTGTGCCTGGGCGGAGTGGACAGGTTTATTCATCTCCACGCACGTCTGCGTGTTGCTCGCTCCACCACACGCTGTTGAAAAGGGCTCATTTTGGCAGGCAGCAAAATCTCTATTCTTTTGCTGATTCCAGCAGCTGGTGGGCTGGGCAGCACACCGTCCTGCTGTTAATTACCCCCAGGCTGCACAGCCGCAGAAGGAAATGGTGCTGCACAGCTCTTCTGCATTTGCAGCATGCCAGAACGTGCTTACAGGAGCACAGAGGGACACAGTCCCCTCCACAAAAGCCTTATAAACTAAAGGGACAAATAGAAAGATATTATAGCAAAATCAAGACCACCTAGTAGCAACAGAAAGCCGTTTGCAGCAGCTCTGACATCACCTCCTGAAGGCATCATGGAGCAAACTGGTTTGGAGGAGGGGCTCACAGACATTGCAGTTTCGTGGATGAAAGTGGGTGGAACGATCTGATTTTCCTTGTCAGTGAAAAGTGTAACCTCACAGATGGAATGGGGAAACAATTCAGTGTGCTGTGCTTCAGTAGAGGAAGAGCTGATCAGCTTCACGTGTATTTCTACATCTCTTGTCATGGAGGAGAAAGTGGAGGTCAAAATCCAAACACTTTTACACCATTGCTGAATTCTCCATCCTATTTCTGTCAGTAAATCAGAAATCACATGGAAAAAAAAGACAAAAAAAAAAAAAGCCTGTATCTTCTTTAGATCATGGGCAGGCTAAGAAAGCATTGGCAGGCAGCTGTGGCATGACTGAGGGCAGTTAGTGCGTGCCACTGCAGCTCACAGCACTGAGAAATGCACCAACAGCCCCAGTTCTCCCTGTGCAGCCTGTGACACTGCATCACTGCTCTTTTGGAGTTGTTCCTATTATCTGGCCCAAAATAGGCAGCAGCTCTTCACTGTTGAGGCGTTTTCCACCATAATGTATTCCTCCCAACCCACACAATTTGTTCCTTTTGCACCACATCTGCTGCTGCAGTGCAGGTGATTCCAGAGCAGCCGTTGTCCCACCCTCTGTACGACTTCAATGGAGCTTTCATTTGCTTTGATCTTCATTTATAAGAGCTAGCACAATACAACTGTTATTTCAATAATTCATCAAAGGCACCTAAAGGAGGATAATTAAAAGTGACTTTGGGAGGCCTCAAAGGAAAGTCATAATGGCTGAACGGAACATCCAGGTGTGGGAGTGATCTGTGAAATCATCCATAAACTCTGGCCTTCACATTTACAATAGGAGAGGTGAGCAGTTTTTTTGTGCCTACATGCAGCCCAGTCCCACCAGCCCCTCAAGTGCCCATAGAACTCAGTTCTGATGAGCAACACCTCTGATTTTTCCTATTTCCCACTGATCTTTATTTCTTAGGCATCCTGTAGAGGTGCACAAGGAGTAGTGCTGTGCAGGTTTCTTCTCGGTAGGTGAGAATGAAGGCATCTAGTGGAAAAGGTACAACCCATCTTGAACCTCTCACAATAACAACTTTCTTTAGGAGGTAGCTGGAAGAAGCCCTGAGTGACGGGCTGGGCTGCCCCAAAGCCAATCTAGGGCATAATTTGTGTTTGCACAGAAAAAAAGCAAAAAAATACTATTCAAATAGGTTGTCCCTGTCTTGTTTTCTGTTTCTCCTAACAGCAAAAAACCACTTTTGCTCACGTTACCCTCAGCTTGGCAGAGTGGGGAAGCTATCCCCAAAGGCATTCCAGGCTTTCCTTGAGTTGGTGGCTTCTGAGCTCACTGGGGATGAAGATGAAGTTATTGATAACATTGTGGAATTTTTGACCACGAGAGTGGAACGAAGTCACATGGAGTGCTTGCAAAGCTTGGCGAGGAGGAGGTGGCTGCACAACATCCAGCGGGCAGCTGAGAGCAGCGGAGCACGCATGGACCCGGTGTACGACGCCGTGCTCAAGGCCCTCCTCAAGGTATTGGTCCCTGGGAATGGCAGTTTGTTGTGTCAGTGTTGTGAAACCAACTTCCAGCCCCGATGCTTCGAGGGCAGCTCACAGCTTACAGGGGCTGAGGATGCTGTCCCTGTGCTTCCTGCTCAGCGATGGTGTTCAGGAGAGTCAATGGGTTTGCACAGTCACAGGTGAGATCCACGATGGAAGAATCTCCTATTGGAGATGAAATTCACAGTGCTGCTTAGGCCCTGGGTGCAGTTAGCTGGTTGTTTCAACGACAGGAAAAAAGAAAGCCGTTCTCTCTGGCAGTCAGCACCCAAAGTGGTTTTGCTTGTAACAGAGCACACCAGTCCATCACAGCACACACATCGTGCGTGACACACAAAATCAGTGACCCAGAACAGCGTGTCAGCACAAATGAGACAAGTGATAAGTACATGAAATAAGCGTAATGGCCAATGGCTAATGTACATAATGTAACAGGAAACATTTGGTTGCTAGGATGCAGAAGCCCACGGGGATAACAAGAAGATCAGTGCATATATTGCCCTTTTGGAAGAAAACCAGCTCTCACCAGAGCGGGGACAGAGGCTCCTGCGCTATGTGGCATGCACCACAGATGATGCTCCGTATGTTCTAAACCAGGCACTCTACAGAGACATGAAAGGAGTAAGGTAAGAAAAGCCACCAATAGTTTCCTTTATTTGAAAAGTGCTTGCAATGCAGGGGTACTCAGCAGTGCCTGGAGGTGCTCTGAAAACAGAGGTTGATCGGCTGCTCCGGAGAGGAACGTCCCTCAGGGACCACTGTGGGATTCTTCATTATCACACACATGCCCTAATGCTTTGCATGGTCTGCTCAGAGCTGCTCTGTTTGGGATTCCACTCCTTCCCTTGGGTGATTAGCTCACGGCCTCACAAGTCTCATCCTTTAGCAAAGTCCGTTACACTGGGCCTACACTGAAAATTAATGTCCTTACAACAGTTTACATCCACTTGGATAGTTTTTGAGAGCAATGCTTTCCTTCCTTAATGTTTAAAGTACAAACAGCTTTCCTGCCTCTGTATGTCTTATTTCCATACGCTAAACGCATTTCAATACTGCTTCTTCTGATCTATGAAATGTAACAGCTGCTCCCTTCTGAATTCCTCTTCATTACACTCATTAGTTGGTGCTTTTACATTGTCTTAGGGACAAAAAGTGCCTTATTTATTCCCAGTGATTCTGGTATGTGAGTGGTAACTGGAAGCTCGTCACAAACCTGCCCTCATGTTTATTTTTCAGCTTTGCAGCTGTTGAAGAGGAAAAGCCCATCCATGTCCCAAGAGTTCAGCTCCATGGAAATATCCACTTCTGGAACCAGGACCGCCCAGCCGAGCAGAGGAGAGGCTCATTCCTGGTGCTGCCATTGCAGGATGCTCACTGGAGAGTCTTTGGCATTCTGGGACTTGATACTCTTCGAGATGAGAACGAGAAAACCATCTTCCTGACCCATGAGATCAGCTTCTACCAGGTGGGCACCACCAGAAGGCCGTTTGTGAGTCTGTACTACAAAAAAAAAAGGGCAAGAACACTGAGTTTTTCAGGTTTGCTCTGAGATGTAAGATGGTACAACTCAGAAAAAAAGAAACCAAGCAGTGGGCTCCTCTTCACTGTATGTGATAAAACTGTGTGTGAGCAGAACACTTTACCACTATCGTGCTGATTGACATCTTCTTTGTAATTGATGATCAGATACCATCTAATCAGTCATTTATTTAAGCTTCTCCTGCAGACCTGACTATTAAGTTACTTGTGCAAAGCCCAGAGAGCAGCTTTATTTACCGAAGCACTGACTCTCAGATCTGTGTTCGTTTCTACAAGGTGGCCCAAAAACCCAACACGGTAGATCAATCACAAGCACCAGCAGGCTGGGTTTCCTTGTGATGCAGTGTTGCTCTTTGGAATCTGCCTGGCTGTGGATGCATCATGCGGGCAGCAGGGAGCGCAGCAAACCAACGTTATCAGCGGGTTTGGCTGTGCATCACCACAGAGAGCAATCACAGTGCTTGGCTGTGACCTGGCTGCCATGGAATCTCAGGGCCTGCTTTAATAACACACATTTCGCAGTTACTTTTCACCTTTGCAAGCTGCCGTTAAAGTGATTATTACAACCGCTTGGCTTCATGTTGTTGGATGATCCTAATTGTTTCCTTTCCTAACTCACGTAGAACTGCCTGGCTCATTTGGAGTGTTCTGCTTTCACAGGGAGTTTCTCATGCATTCAGCAAAGCCTACCAGCATGTGTGTGCACTAGGAAGTGTTCTGCAAATGGCCCTCACTGCTCTGGACTGGTTGTATCACAGAGTGCCCAGCATCCACGCTGTCAGCATGTACCTGGTGGAGCCTGGCAATGATCAGGTGTGCAGGTTACTGATGAGGAAGGTTATGCTGATTAAAGGTACAGAGGGCTGACAGGCCTACTTAGGCTGGGGAGATACTTCATTTCTAGCTGTCTGTGATTTCCCAGTGCTTTTGTTGTCAAACTGAAGCCTGCCTGAGATACTTGTGCCTGCCTGAGTATCAAAAGCTATAGAGGTAGAAAGGGAAGGCTCCCTCTGTAAAGGAGGGTGCTCTTCCTTATTTTCATCCTCTCGTGTAAAACAGTGCTGCTAGCATAGCTCCTTTCTCCATGGCACAAGAGAATATTCTTCTATTTCAGAGTAAAACCCCACACCTACTCAATGCATCCTTCTATCCATCCATCCCTGCATCATCCATCCATACGTTAACCCCTGCTAAAGCTTTGCTATTTGAGACCTCCACAAAGGGAGATGCCCTTCAGTGGAGGCCCTGTGCATGTGAAAATTAAGGCATGGAAAAAAAGAAATGTCCAAAGGCTTCTATCTGAACCAAGACCTAAGTGCAGTGCAGGAAGGGCTGCTCCCACTTAGGCAGCTTGTAGAGGCAGCCCACCTATGAGCAGATCATATCCCAGTGGTTCAGCAGGCACTCGAGCCCTGGGAAGCTTGTCACTTCACATACAAGTAAATTAAGGAGATGAAAAGTGCGTGTAATAGTAAGGAATGATCCCATGTCACCACAATGCCTGTATGACATCTGCTGAAGCCATAATTCATCTGCTTCCTCTGATAAGCGTTGTTTTTGTTGGAAGCTTTTTGTTGTCATTCCAGGCTCTGCCCTGTCCCTCGTTAACTGCCCGATAGGCAGGTCATGTGTCAAGGCATGCTGACAGAAGCGTGCCATGAGAAATGAGGACTGTAACACGATGTGAAAAAGAAGGGAAACCTCTTCCTTAGCCTGTGGGTGTTCCTCGGTGTGGAGCCTGGGGACGCATTAGATGGTTTGGCTGAGGGAAGGTCCAGGCACATTCTTCATGCACCCTGAGCAAGAAGGGGAATAAAAACACTGCCTGGTAATAAAACTAGGCATTGCTGGGAGATGTCTAAAACCATCTCATGGCACTCAGATGTACGTGGGAATTTTAACACACACACACACAAACACTTTCTGCCCTCTCCAAGCTTCACAATGGCTGTTCCTCTCCTGCGTGCAGCTAACCATCCCTCTCCTGTCTGACAGACGTGCGACTATGCTCTGCGCAGAATGATTGCTACAGACAGTACAGGACAAAAGGAAATCCAGTCCTCTCCCATCCTCCTCCTCAGAAAAGAGAACCTTTTCAGGTGGGCTCCAGCACTTGCAGTCAGTTACCAGACACCCCAGGTCCCAGATCCCAGCCTGCACAATGCACACAGCATGAGGCCGGCTGTAACGCAGCCCTGCTGCAGTGCCTGCCCACACTTGTCTCACTGCTGAGGCTCCAGGTGTGGATCTATGTGATGCTGAATGATGAAAGCACAAGGTGCATTTTCTATTTGATTTTAGGCCTGCAGAAAATTAGCTTCCATCTTAATGCTTACTGGATGAGCTGCCGAGCAAGCTCTGCATCTGTTGTGGAAGGTTTGCAGGATCAGAGCCTATAGTGAAGGATTTCACTATTTACAGTAATCTGCCTTTTTTTTTCCTGGCCATATTTGTCTCATTTCCTGTCATTATCTGTTTCCTTCAGCTGCCAGGATCCTCACAGACTTGTCTTAAGCATATCAAACAAGAAGTTGATTTTAAAGTGAGAATACAACCTATTTTTAGCTTTGTTGAATTGTTGTGGTTTTCAACAACTGCAACTTTCAGCAATATTGTATTCAAAAATGTAATTTTCTCCATTCTCTATATGGCTTTAATGAGACTTAAAAATGTTCATGTTTCAGTTAAAGGAATTAAACAATAATTGTAAGATAATACCTTTGTTTTAACAGCAAGAGATGAATGACCTGTAACTGCAACATGCTAAAGTGCCCAGAGGGACTGGAGTGGTAAAGCTGTGGACTTACTCCTCTCTTTACTCTCATTTCAGAGATTACCTGTTTAAGTGCAGAGACTGCTCAGAGGTTGTTTGCAGTTCTGTCTGTGGAGAACAGCACATAGCAGTGCCTCTCCGGGACCTGTCGGGACGAGCTCTGGGGTTATTTGATATCAGCATTGGACCCCAGCAGACATTACCTCCCCACGAACATAAGGACCTGCAGAGAATGCTGAAGATGGCCCAAGCTGCCTGTTCAGAACTGCTGAAGATGCCTTCAGAGGAAGCCAAAGCAAGCTGTGTACTGGGTATTGTGCTCACAGAGCCAGGAGAGATCGTTAGGGGTAAAAGCAGGAATCGCAGTAAAACCACTTCGGAAGTATTTGTGCAAGTACAAATGACACCAAAGGCCTTTGGTCCAGGTACTGCTCCTGAGCAAGCCCAAGGGCTGAGCACAGTACCCTTAAGCAGCATGTTTAGATTTTGGCTTTGGTTCACGGGATTTCCACTGAAATCAAAGGCGTGAAGCAATGTGCTGCATTCAGGAATCTAACATCTTCTGCTCAGTGCCCCGGCTGAGATGGAAAGGATCAATGTCACAACTACCTGTGTGCCTGGGCCCTCTGTGCTCTCAGGACTGCTCTGTAACATTTATGGCACCTGTCTAATCCCCTTAAGGCACTCAGCAGTCTCAATACATCACACATTACAGAAAGCTTTGCCTCCTAGAACACATAACCTTCTGAAATGTTTCATAGCACACTTGGGTTGTAAATGGATCAAGCTCTTTGTTAAGGAGAAAATGAGTTAATGGCAAAGAGGCACAGCTGTTCAGCCAGTAATGTAAGTCTTGAGCAGTGAATGTTTCTAAGCAACTTCTTGAAAGGTTTGCTTGTGATTCCAGAGGCAGAACACAGGAATGTGAGGCATGCAGGGATTGTCTTCCACCGCTTCATGCTGCAGGACCTGCGTGAGTGTATCCACAAACTGAATGCCGAGAGCTTTGCTGAAATCAGGAGCAATGAAGACCCACCAGCTCTGGTACATAACATAATGAAGGCTGTGCTGTTGCTTTTACATCCAGAGTGGGAGGGCACAGAGAAGACTGAGAACTGGAATCAGTGCATACTGGTGAGACGTTTATTTCTTCCTTTCAATCTCCCACTTTCTGACTTATCATTTCCAGAAGTGCTGCCTGCAAGTTTCCTACAGGCCAACCTTAGCCAGCTTTAATTCTGCAACTCTCTCTTAAGGTTTTCACCATCCGACCTTCTTTGTTCTCTTCATTGCAGCAACTTGATGACAATTTAATTCAAGAGATGTATTGCTTTGATCCCACTGCTGCATCTGTGCACGTTCAAGCAGAGCTGGTGCAGAACTGTATCAATGGTAAATACCATACAGTAACTGTGAGATGATCAGGCACAGCTCAGCAATGAAACACTCTCAGTAGTGACATTCAGCTGAGCACTTTCAAGTCCTCACTTCCAAAACTAATTTTGATTTCCCGATAGATTAAACAATAGATAAGGGGTCCTAAATATCTGCAGACTTTGTCAATAAAAGTCAATTTGTTATATTTATTATCAAAACTCACTGCCTTGAGGGAAGGGGAGCAGATCAGCTTTGAGATCTAGCAGAACGGGTGATCTCATTGTAAACCTGTAGGTAACATGCTAACAATTATGAGTTTTTTTGGGCAAATAATCTGTTCTGTGTACATCAGACCTGCTGTGCACTAGGCAATGACCCAGCTCCAAACAAATCATGGGTGTGGGAGCACAGTGGGAGCCCTCCTGCTCATAAACACCATCTGCCAGGTACTCCATACACTCATTGGCCATAAACAGGAGGTTAGGTTTCCATCTGTCTTTCCCTCATTTAATGAATATGAGCTTTTTTTGGTGCCAGAGTACTCAAGAGGCTACTAGTATTTTCAGTCTCTCTGCAGGAGAAGCAAGTGGTGTTCTTGTTGACATCTCTCCCTTATCGATTTAATGACAGAATGAGAGGCTCATTAAAATTAAGTGTGGACAGACTTACTAATTCAGCTGGGGATACTCATTTACAGTGACCTTCCTACTGCTGAGCAGTGAGCAGTCATAGCTCCTTTGTATGTGTTCCCATGTATATTAGACTAATTCTGGAGAGAATGAAGCAGGCCTCAAGCATCCAGTCCTCCTAGGCTTAACTGGAAAGGCACACAAAACACTTTGGCAAATTATTGGAACTTATTTGTGGGACAACAGTGTGAGATCAGTGGTTTGAAATCAGTACGACTCACAAGGGAAGGGTCTGGAGCACAAGTCTGATGGGGAACAGCTGAGGGACAGGACAGTGTGAAGAAGGGTCCCTGAGCCTGGAGGCATCCCAGAGCCATGGAGATGTGGCACTGAGGGCTGTAGTCAGTGAGCACTGTGGGCTGGGGTTGCACGTGGGGATTTGAGAGGTCTTTTCCAACCCAAATGGTTCTGCGATGCTATGAATTCCTGCTAAATGAACATCAGTGTTCACACACGTTGTGTGTTGGACAATACCCCTATGTTCTATAGACATGTCCTGGAATATGGAAGCACATAACCTACACCCCACTCCCAGGGAGATGTTTAGAGGTATGACTCCATGGTTTCAAGCTAGCCTTTTGCAGTGACAGCTCTTCTCTGTTGCAGGGGCGCCTCAGGCAGCAGTTTGGCCGCAGGGTTCCATAGCAGCCCGGCTCCTGGAGTGCTGGGTGCACACCTGCCTGTGCCTGGTCCAGCTGACAGAGAACACACGGAGCAACGCGGCCCCATCCTGTAGCACTGCCCACAGCAACGCCTCCTGTTAAGACCACCAGCTGCTCACCTAACCCAGCTCCTGATAAGGAGCACTGTAATGAAACACTGCTTCATTAATTGTTTGCTTTTATTAGTTATGCACTGCAACTCAGCACTCGTCAAGACAGTTAGGTGCCATTAAGGGCAGTAAAAACATTGCAAGGAAATACTTTTGCGAGTATGAATCTATCTGCTAAACCTTAAAAAGGCTGCTTGAGGCTTTATTATTGAAGTTCCAGTAAGAGAGGCTGGGAACACTTGATGGCAGCAGCACTCATAAGCCATGCAGCACAGAAGCTGGGGATTCCCCCTCTTTCAGTTACATTTTAGAAGCAGCTCTAATTGACGGCTGTTAATCAGCACTGTTAGCAGTTATAGGCGCGCTGCAGCACAGCCCCGCTGTTTTCATACAGCCCCCAACTTCAGCCTGCAGCAAGGCTGCATCTGTGCAACACTCCTTTTGGCAGAACGGCTTCTTTTAATAAATCTGTGGGAAATTAAATCCTTCTTTCTCCTTTCAGACCGGCGCCTCCACGTCTGCGGACGAAAACGCTTGTCCCGCAGCACCCGCCGGCGGGTGGGGGAGGGGCGCGGGAACGCGCGCGCTGCAGATCGCTGCCTATCCGCAGCGGCATTTTCGCCACTCGCCATTCCGCTGTTACAAAAGTCATCTCCTAGCTCTGTGCCTTCCCACTCGCTCTCCGCGACCCTTCTGGAGCAAAAAACGAGATCGGCGCGGCGGGAGCGCCCAGAGAGAAGGAAGTGGAAAGCAGCAGAGACAGGAGGAATCTGCGGCCGCGGAGCAGCAGGCGGCTGTGCCCAGCGGCTGCCGGGACAAGATGGCGGCTCTAAGCAAGCAGTGAGTGCGCGCCGCGGCGGGGTGGCGGTAACCGAGGGGCGCCATGGGGTCGCCGCCGAGGATGGGCACGAGCCGGGTCCCGCCCCACCTCCGGCCGGGGCTGGCGCTACCGGAGCGCACGGTCGTCCCAATCGGCGTTTGTTGGCGGGCAGCGGCCTCGCTGCGTTGGCCTGAACGTAAAACTCGTAAAACTGTATTCGTTATAAAGTAAAAAAAAACACAAAAATTATACGTGGGAAGGGGCGGGGGGCGGCTGCGACGGCGCTGAGGGGACTTTTTAACTCCAACGAAGCAGAATCCCTTCAGGATTCGCACAGAAACCGCCGTGCTCCCGGTGCGGCCCAACCGCCACCTCAGAACTGGGCTGCCCCACCTCAGAACTGGGCCGTGAGCTGGATGCAGGGCCTGGCTGATTGTTTGCCTTGTGATGTGATGTGAGCTGGATGCAGGGCCTGGCTGATTGCCCCAGCTGCACCTGTACGTTGGTAGTGCACGTTGCTGTCCAAAAGTGTGTCTACAGAGCATTGGGTGTGGGTCGGTCCTTTGGGAGTTAAAATTGTTTCTTCTTTCCCTGAGGAAGGAAGAAAGAAAAATCGTTTAAGAAGGTATTTGTGGCCTAATTTAGGAAGATGGATAGTTTTATCCCTAAACTTTGTGTGGAAAAAGGCTGATGGTGGCGGTGGGAGAAGCTGGCAGGCAGTGCTGCCATCAGCACTGCCCTGAGCTGTGCTCTATACATTGTAGTGCTGCTCATCTTCTGTTTCTAGAGTTGTAAATAGCAGAGCTCTGTTTTGAAACCTGCTATGTGTACATAGCATGAAAGTTAATTTTCAGCATTCTTCCCTAGGTATGGGCTTATTATGCCCAAGAAATTGCAGCAGAAGAATCTGGCTTCCAACAAGCTCTCAGTGTTTGCAGATGACTCTGATGATGAGGTCAGTTCAACAGTTTTCTTCTGATACTTGCACTGTGTTCTGTAAATGATTTGCTTACTGCCATAATGTGCACATCTGCTCATGGCTGTGGTACTGAGAGACAATCATTTGGGTGTGGATGATACGTAGCTCTTGAAGCATTCAGTTCTGCTAATAAGAGATAACACTGTGTGCAGGATTTCAGTGACCACACGCTTTGTTGGTGCTCGGAGGTGTATGACTCCACTGCATGACATTCATAGTGTTCTTTTATGTAGTCTTTATTTGCTTTTAAAATGTTAGAATGAAAATATAAACTTTCTGCTTGTTCCAGTAGAGGGGGCTGCACTCTAAAAATTACACTTCAGGATGGAGTGCTGCGTGGGGTGCAGCCAAGAACTGGCTCAGCATTTAGGCTGTTTGGGTGCTTACAGATATAGCCCTGTTCTTAAACAGAAGTTTTGAAGAATTTAAAGGCAGTAGTTTTGTAGTCTGTGGGTAAAGGGTAGGAACTCAGAGCTGTGGAGGTGACTTGTCTCTATATGGATAAGTGCTAAGGTTGCAACTTCTTTCTCTGTTTCTGGAGATGAGGTTGCAGTTTACTGGCTAGTATCAATCAGAAATTGTCTGTGATAGTTTGATCATAATGTCATTACGTGCGTGTTATACTTTATTTTTTACCCAAAGCCCAGAAAACATTGTTTTGATTGTGTAGTTGCAAAGAACAGTGCTAATTAAGCATCAAATAATATTTGTCAGTTGCTAATTCCTGTAACCAAACATCGTAAATGTTTTTTTTAATGAACTGGTAGCTCTTATGTTTTGTGACAATAAGCCCAAATCTAACAATTGCCAACCTCTGGGAGAGGCTGAATCCCATCTGCTGCTGCTGAGGGCGTTGCAGCTGCCTTTGTACAGTGCATGAGAGGGCTGAGGGCTTCCCAGTGATATCCAGTCAGCCTCGAATGTGAAACTGCAGCTTGTAGGAAGTGCAGAGGATGTGAACATGTCTGACATGCCATCTCTCACCTCACCTAGCTGCATCCTCAGCACCGTGTGGAGGTGCTCCTCTGCTTCAGCTCATAGCTGCCAGCTTGGCTGTAAGGAGAGGCTTTCCTCTGAGCACAGCTGATAGGGATGATAGGATGCACTGCCCTCTGGGGCAGCAGTACTTTCCTTTCTGTGGCAGTTTGGGATTTGGTGTCTTTCCCTACATCCAGGAATGGACTCTGTGTTTTCCAGAGCCCAAGAATGAGCTTCAGATGGTGGGTTGTTGTCATTATACCTCAGATGGTAGGGCTGGAAATCCTCCTGGCTGGGGGGTGACTTGTTTTTCACTTCTGTGTTTTCTCCTTTTAATTTTCAGAGTAAAATAATGAATGATAACAATTACAATAATAGTAACAGTAGCAGTGTATGGTGCTGCCAGCTAACTTATATGTAACAGATCAAGTATTTTTTCTGCCAGAAAAGCTGACATTCGCTACCAGTCTGTTATAAAGACTCTTAAAAGTTGTCCTGTGCATTGGTGTGGTACATCCTCAGCAAAATGTAATAATCTCATAACTGCCTTTATCAAAAAAGGATCACTTTTAAAAAAAGCAAAATTACTTTATTAGTTCAATAATAATTTCAGAGCTTTCAAGATAAGGAGCTGCATTTGGGAGGGGTTTCATTTCCTGTCTGCTGGCTTATCACTCAGAACTACATCTCAAACGTCTGGAGATTATGTATTTTTAACTGAACTCTAATAAAGTTTGTGCTGGGAAATCTGCACACCTGACTTGGGCTGTGATTATATATGAGATACCAAACTTTTGCCTCCTTTTTTTTTTAATGCTATGTGTGTATTTTATTAAGGCTTTGCCTGTACCTTTGCTGCAGGAGTTTAAAATGTGACTGTGGCAAAGTACATCAGTGGGCGTTAGCCAGCAACGAAGGTGTTCTTGGGTTAGTTCATAGCAAGCAGAACATCTTGGATGGAAATCTTCTTGAGATATTTTTGATCAGTGTTGAATGGGATAACTGAAGCAGGTGGTTGCAGTTCTTCCTGGCTGCCCTGGTTCTGAGTTATTTGCCTTCATAAGCAGGGGTTGTTACTGTCTTTAGATATGGAGGGAAGGTGGTCATCCTGCGGAGAGCCTTTAGTGGAGAGCAGGTGATGCATCAGCAAAGGGAGATGTGAGAAATGAGCTTTCATTGTGGTTTGCTGCTGCTTGTGGTCTGTTCATTTTCTCCACAAACATCACCCTCTTGTTCACATGCTGTATCTCATATTACCCCCTTATTCACGTTGTGTCTCAAGAAGCAGTGTGTCACTTCCCCCTGTGCGCTGCTCTGCGCTCTGTTCTTCATTTACCGTTTAGTTGGGAGTATCTCTGGAAGTTGAGACTCATTTTGCAGCATTAAAATGTCTGTTTATTGAACTAGAATCACCTGCACCGTACCAAGCAACCTTCAGAACTGATCTGTTGCTTCAGGATGGCAGTGTAGATAAAAACCAAAATGCACACAGATTGCATTGGGTGCTCAGTGCAGGGGGACATGGTGGTGGCAGTGGGGATGTTCTGTGAGTGTTGGCTGGTGGGGGGCTGGCTTGTTTTAGTGAGCCCCCAAAAGAAAGGAGGAGCATTGGAGCAAACGTAAAGAAACTGGAACTGAAAAGAAAACTGCATTGGGTTGTAAACCCATTTTTGTTCTTGCTTACAAAAAAGCCCAAAAATGCAATGTCTGGAAAAAAAAAAAAGTGCTGAGTAGTGATAAGGACTGGGGTTCATGCAGCACAAGAGCAAACAGACTGAGGGGCTGTGGCAGAGATCCCTGAGCAAAGTGGAGAAGTGAGTGTGGAGGAAGCACGGAAAAGCAAAAATGATTCAGAGAAAGTAAAGCAGGTTTGCTGTTTCTCATAATATGAGCAGCAGAACGTATGATGGAATGAACTGGTTTCATGGAAACAAAAGGAAGTTGTTTTTGTCCAGGCAGTGTGTGATGCAGTTGTGGAACCCATCGCCACGGGACGCTGCGGTGCGGCCAGAGCTATAAATGGGCTCAGAAATGGATGAGTCAAACAAAGGGATGCTCGTGGTGTCCAACAGTGGCCCAGGTGCATCCTCCCGTGCGGGAAATCTTCTGCTGCGGGTTGCTGGAAGCTGGGAGTGTGTGCCAAGGAGATTGACTGCCATATGGACTTATTTTTCATGTTCTTTTTTCTCTAAGAAATGGGAGAGAACAGTGAGAGTGCTCATAGACCGAGGCCCTTTGTTCTATTTGTTGTCTTTTTGTTCCCATCAGAGCTTTCTGCCCTGGCCTTGTAGGGCAGGTAGACTTCAGAGTCTCGTTTTGAAGTTTGTTTGTTTGCATGTGTGCTTTTACAGGAGAGGGTTAAAGTATCTTTTCCTTCCAGCAGATATTAAAACTATAAGCTTTGTGCTTTGGAAGAATAGCTTGAGCGCAGTACGAGTGTGAGACAGATCGCTGAGCTTATAGGCCTTTAATAAATGGGCAGTTGATAAGTAAAAACAATA